ATTGCCGTTAGTTTGGGTACAAACCCCGTTGATGACCTGCGGGACCGTAAAATTATAACTCTCTAACAGGCAGAAAAGGAAAACAAACGTTACTCATTTCTGTTTCTCTGCATGCTAACCTCTTAAATCTGCAGTGCTGGCAAATCCTCTGCTATCTCACGTATGGCTGGGAATAGTTAAATATCCCAACAGTCAGAAAAAAAGTGGGCTAATGGGACAGCACTCAAGCAACTGTGTCATCTCTAGTTTAGGTGACTTTTCCAGAACATACAAAAGAGGAATCAATCTCAACAGCGATGTTGATTGTATTTCGTCTCTCTCCATTTGAACAGGTAAGGCTTTGTCCTTCATGTCTAGTCGTCCGTAAGGCTGTACGTGGACCTAGAGGTCCATTATCTGCATTATGTATCTGATAATGTTTTTATTCCCCAAAGTAATGGAAATATATTGATATTCAGATGGCCCTCAGATGGGCTTACAGGGTAGCACTCTGGCGTGATGTTAAGTCTTTGAAGCAGCTCTGCGTTATTGTAATTATGGTTATTTCTCCAGAAGTTCTGTAAGAGGTGGGAAAATGCTGAGCTTAGTTCATGCGTGGGTTGGCTTGTTGTGTGGTAGTAAACAAAATGGACTTTGAATAGGGCAAACCTCATTAATTTGCAGTTTGGCATGTAATTGGTCAAAGTCTTTGAAATCAGACAGAACACTTGAGTTAATAATATCGAGTTTTATGGTTCACAGGATTCTAAAATAATTGAAAGCAGCTAATTATGAGGTTCCATTTGAAAGTGCTGGCAGTCTGCCTCCCTGGATGGGTAGGAAGGATGATTGCGTTAAGCATAGTCACCATTTGGTTTTAAACATAGATTCTGCCAACGTGGTTTTAGAAGTGTTTAGAAGGAGTTTACTTAATGCAGAAAGTCCAGCTTATTCCCTACCATCTGTAACCACCTGGAGCTAGAGGTAGGTGTAATGGGCAGGGACCTGCTGGGTATCCTTTGAACAATGTCGGTAGGTAACCCCCTACTGCCCTCAGTGAAAGTGTCCCTGTAGTGTTCTTCCTCCTGCCAGAATGGCTCTGTTCAGGATTGTCCCTTGGACTACACTAGTTGTATCACCCCCAGTCCTTTTTCATGCTAAAAGTGTCTTGGAGAGGGTATTACTTCGCAAGAATTAATCATGAACATCTTTGCAAGATTCTTTATAGGGACAGAAGCAATTGCATTTGTAATAGGAGGGATGTTAATTTTCATTGCTTTGTGTTATTGCCCCTTGCAATTGTCATTTTTGTTTTCCCTCCATTGCCCGCTCTAAACAAGAACCTACAGTGAAAAGTAGACGATACTAATTGAGAAAAGGAAGAGGAATACAGGAACTTCCGGGCAGAAAAATTAACTTTAAGAAATTAAGGAGAGATGATTCCCAATGAATTGCTCAGTGTAAAGAAAGTAGAGAAGACCACCACGTCCTACAGAAACCGTGTGCTGTGAGAGAAGTGCACTCACTAGTCAACCACTTGTGTCGTAAAGGTTTTTGTGAGCCCAAATCATTCATGTTCTTGGAGGGGGCAACACTGTAGGGAGGCAGGGATTACATTGTGGAATAGTATAATTTGGACACAGTGTCTCCGTGTCCAAATTTCCCATTTTTATAAAGCTGCCAGTCATACTGGATTAAAGCCCACCCTAAAGACCTTATTTAACTTGATTGCCTCTGTATAGTGCCTTTCTCTAAATAAGGTCATATTCTAAGGTACTGGGGGTTAGGATTCCAACATATTTTGGCGGGGAGACACCAATAACAGGTTTCATGTTCATATCAGTGTCTCAAGAGAAAAAACTCTCTGGTCTGGTCTGTTTATGTGGCCTCTTTTATTCTAGATCTTGTATGTCATTTCATGTTGAAATGAGTAGATGTGACAGAATCCACCTCCATTGAAATAGGAAGAGGTCCTTAGCTCCTGTCAGTGCAGCAGGTCATTAGAAGGAGAGATAGAGAGATAGGGAGGGAGAGGGAGAAAGAAAATGGATCTCAGTGCAATTCAGATCTTTAACCTCTGCATTGGCTCCCTGAGTATGTATTTTTTTTTTTCTGGTTGATCTTGCACAGCTTTTCAGAAAACCTTTTAGATAATTCAGCATAGTCACTCTGAAATCCTCTCCTCCCAACAGAAGTATTCCCTAGTAAGTAAACATATACCTATATATTGGTTTGGGATCTGGATAATTTGTGGAGTTATAAATTGTCCTAATAATTTCTTTTTTTTTATTTTTATTTTTTAATGCTAATAATTTCTTATACATTCCCAAATCTCTATATAACATTATAATGTAGAGACACAGAGAGTACTAGCTACACAGATAAGTATTTTCACAGCAACATATTGAAATTTGAAAAATTATTATTATCAATTACATTGATGCATTCGGCCCTCTAATTTTTATCAGGTTGTATGTCTTAGTTGGTTAACATATGGTTTACTTATGATGCCTAATATTAGCATAACGCTTTCATAATTCATTTGCCATCCCCTTTAAATCTCCTTTGAAAACATTGATTAATTGGCCGGTTCACTCATTTGTCAGTCACTTATCATTTATTAAGTATTTCCTGTGTCCCAGGGATTGTGCTATGAACTATGAATGCATGGCTGCAAAATTATGGTCCAACTCTTCAAGGAATTTAGAGTCCATTTGGCTGTAGTGGAGATACATGTATATGTAGTATAAGCTTCGGGTTTGATTAAGAAGGACTAGAATCCATGCTTGGTCACACCAGCTGTATGACATTTTACAAATTTCTTAACCTTCCTAAGCCATTTATTTCCTCATATGTAAAATGGGTAAAATAATACATATATATTGGGTTCCTTATGAGAATCCGATGAGATAACAAAGTCTGAGTACTCAATAAATAGGACTTGCTATAACTATAATAACAAGAGTTTTCAATTTTTTTTTTTAAAAGACATTTATTCAGCATCATGATCAGACTATTACATTTAGCAATCAACAGCATGGGTGCAAAAAAAAAACCTACATTAAAACCCTTTGTTGGAATGCTTTACACTTTCCACAGAACAGAAACTAAAATAATCTGTTATACAATTAGTCACAAATACAGTCCTCGAGGTTTTTGCCCATGTACACATGAGTACTGTCTAAAACATGTCTTCTTTGTAGCAGCTAAGCCCTGCCACCACTGTGCTTGGCTGAGTTCACAAATCCGTTGTGACCTGTAGCTTCCCTGTCACTTCTCTGGCTCTCCTCTCCTGCTTAAGTTTCTTTCCTGGCAGTAATTAAAACCTTCTGCCACTGCCATAGCTACTGCTGCTGCTGGAACCACCATAGCCACCTTGGTTTCGTAGTTTGGCAAAGTATTGGCCACCACCACCATAGGGGCCAGAGCTTCTGCCTCCAAAGTTTCCTCCTTTCATGGGTCCAAAATTTGAAGTTTGATTGTCGTAATTGCCAAAATCATTGTAGCTTCCGCCACCTCCAAAACTGCTTCCATCATTACCAAATCCATCATAGCCATCCGCACTGCCACCATATCCTCCACCACCACGGCTGCCACCAAAGCCACCTTGACCACTGAAGTTTCCTCCACGACCAAAGTTGTCATTCCCACCAAAACCACCTCCACGACCACCACCGAAGTTTCCAGAACAACTTCGACCTCTTTGGCTGGACGAAGCACTGGCCATCTCTTGTTTAGATAGGGCTTTCCTTACTTCATAGTTGTGGCTGTTCACAGTATGGTATTTCTGAATGACAATCTTATCAACAGAGTCATGATCATCAAAGGTTACAAAAGCAAATCCTCTCTTTTTGCCACTGCCTTGGTCAGTCATGATTTCAATTACTTCAATTTCCCCATACTGTTCAAAATAATCTCTTAGGTGATGTTCTTCAGTGTCTTCTTTAATACCACCAACAAAAATCTTTTTCACAGTTAAGTGGGTACCAGGTCTTTGAGAATCTTCTCTTGAGACAGCCCTCTTTGGTTCCACAACCCTTCCATCCACTTTGTGTGGCCTTGCATTCATGGCTGCATCCATCTCCTCCACAGGGGCATAAGTGACAAACCCAAAGCCTCTGGCGCTTGGTGTTTGGATCCCTCATCACCACACAGTCTGTGAGCGTTCTCCATTGCTCAGAATGGCTCCTCAGACTCTCATTGGTTGTTTCAAAGCTCAAATCTCCGATGAAGAGCTTCCGCAGCTGTTCGGGCTCTTTGGGAGACTCTGACTTAGATGTGACGACTGCTGGTGGGGCGACTTTAACGATGCTTACTCTGCAGCATCCACCGACAAAGGCTTTTTTCTTTTTCTTTTTTTTTTTTTTTTTGAATATGACAATGACTTGGGGCTTGTATGTGGCGAAGTGGGAGAATAAGATAAAAAACATTTAAATATGCCCTATATGAGGCAGAGACTATCTCAATAGAGGAAGTTGTAAATGAGTTAAAACTTGATTCCACTCTAAGAGGGCCACCCCTCTTAGAGTGGGTAGTTTCTACTTTTAGGCTATTATGAATAAAGCTACTATGAAAATAATTATGCAAGGCTTTATTTGGGCATATGTTTTCATTTCTAGAGCAAAAACCCAGGAGTGGAATTTCTTATATCGTTGGTGTATATTTAATTTTATAAGAAACTGCCAAACTGTTTTCCAATGGTTTTACAATTACACACTCTTGCCAGCAATATATGAAAGTTCCAGTTTCTCCATATTCTCACCAATAGTTGGTACTGTCATTATTATATTTTTAATTTATTATTTTAAATTTTAGGCATATGTATGTCTTATCTTTTTTTTTATTTTTATTTCCCTGATAAATAGTAATATTAAGTATATTCTTTATGTCCTTATTGTCCATTCATATATGAAGGGTCTGTTCAAGTCGCTTGGCCATTTTTTAATTGTCATTGTTCATTTTCAGAATATAATGAACCACTATAACTCAATAATAAGAATTATTGAGTTATAGTGGTTCATTATATTCTGGATGAAAATCCTTTGTCAGATATATGCATTCCAAACGTTTTCTCTCGGTGTGTACTTTGCTTTTCAATTTCCCGAAAGCAGTCTTTTGAAGTGTGACATTTTTCGTAGTTTATATGAAGTCCACTTTATAATTTTTGTCTTTTATGATTTGAGATCCTCTGAAAAACAGATGCCAAGATAGAATCAAACATTCAAGAAGTTTATTGGGGGAAACACTCGTGGAGGATAAAGGAGAGGAAGAGAAGAAGGGACAGGTGAAGGGAGCCTTCAGTCCATGAAAAGTGAGGAAGAAGGAAGGAAGAGGCTCAGTCTCCAGTTCAAGTCTGAAAAATTTCATTCAAGCAAATGGGGAACTCAGAGCAAACTGTCTGTTATTGGAGTCCAATGTCAAACAGTAGTGACCCAGCTCTAGTACCCCTGCTCTGCTCAGTCACTGGTTGGTGGCAGCCTGAAGAGAGCCTGACCTCAATACTACGAATACTACACTGGGTCCAAAAGTGCAGTAATTGGAAGGTGGTCGCTCACTACTATCATCATAGAAGGTTGTCTTGAAGGGAGATCTGAGTGGCACACTTCCATGGCTACCTCAGTGCATCCCTTGTACAGCACAGTTCTACTTCTCTAGGCAGATTAGGGGAGCATCCCCTTCATGGTTCACATGGCCTCTCTTCCTGAGAGAAAACTTAGAAGGTGTAGATTAGCGTAATGAACTATGGCCCCTGTTGCTGTAATTGGTCTCCAGGCCACAATTGTGACTCATCTCTTCCTCCTCCACTATCCATCCTAAAATTCCATCATCTTCAGGTCTTGGTGGCTTACCTGGTGGTAAGGGCTTGAGTCTTTGGCAACCATATCCTTCTCAGCCCAGGGTTCCTGTAAATATGCAGCAATTCACAGTTAAAATCGAGCAAAGGAGTACCAGGAAGTCAATTACCTGGGTTCAATCCAAATGAAGTTCGTTTCCTTCTTTTTAAAATCTGAATAATATTCCACTGTATGGATATACTAAATTATCTTTATTCACCCATCGACAGACATTTAGGTTGTTTTAATATCTTGGCTATTGTAAATAATATTGCAATGAGCATGGGAGTGCAGGTATCTCTTTGAGAGCTTGATTTCAATTCCCTAAAGTGGGATTGCTGGATCATACAGCATTTTTGTTTTTAATTTTTTGAGGAAACTTCGGTGTACCAGGGTTCTCTTTTCTCCACATCCTCACCAATACTTATTATTTTTTTAAAAATAATAGCCATACTAATAGGTGTGAGGTGATATTTTACTGTGGTTTTGATTTGCATTTTCCTAATGATTAGTGATATTAGCTCTTTTTCATATACCTGTTGGCCATTTGTATATTTTCTTTGGAGAAATGTCTATTCGGGTCCTTTGCTCAATTTTTAATTGCATTATTTGTTTTTGTTTTTGTTTTTGTTTTTGCTATTGAGTTGTAGGAATTCCTTATATTTTTTGGATATTAGCTCCTTATCAGATATATGGTTTGCAAATATTTTATCCCATTCCATAGGTTCACTTTTCATTTTGTTGATTGTTCCCATTGCTGTGCAGAAGCTTTTTAGTTTAATGACATCCCACTTATTATTATTATTATTATTTTTTTACTTTTGTTGCCTGTGCTTTTAGTGTCATATCCAAAAACTCTTTGTCAAGACCAACGTCAAGGAGCTTTTTCTCCGTCTTCTAAGAGATCTTCTGTCAAGTGTTCTCGTAGATCTTATGCTAAGTGTTCTTATACCACACACACATGCACACAGACAAATAATAATAAAGGGGGCTGGAGGAAGCTTTGGGAGGTAATGGATATATCTATGGCTTTGATGGTAGTGATGGTTTCACAGGTGTATACATATCACCAAAATCATCAAATTGTATACATTAAACATGTAACGCTTTTTACATATTGACAATACCTCAATAATTTTTTTTAAAAGACCAAAGAGCCCCCATTCCTCATGTGAAGATACAGCAGGAAGGTGGTCATCTGCAAACAAGGAAGAGTGCACTCACCAGACACCAAATCTGCCAACACCTTGATCTTAGACTTCCCAGTCTCCAGAACTGTGAGAAATAAATTACCATTGTTTAAGCTATGATATTTTGTTATAGCAGCCTAAACTGTCTAAGACAGGGAGTGACCAATAATAGATATGTGATTTATTTTGGGGGTGATGAAGATGTTTTAAATTAGATTATGGCGATGTCATATAGCTCTGTAAATAAACTAAAAGCCATGGACTTGTACACTTTAAATGGGTGAATTTTATAGTATGCAAATTATATCTCAATAAAGCTGTAAAAAGTAAAAATCGCCCTTGGACAGACAGCATATTGGTTAACAGTGCGGGGCTTCTGTTGTCTTCAATGTGAGTCCCAGCTCTGCCACTTCTCAGCCATAGGACTTCGGGCAAATGAGTTGCCTGTGCTTAGCCTCAGTTTCCTCAAATATAAATGGTACTTATCTTGCAGGGGATGTTGAGGATTAAACAAGAACATCTGTAAGTTTTCTGGGACACAGGGTGTGGTAAAAATTCTCCAGCTATTTTGTCATTATATAGGCCTTCATCTCTAATTCAAGGATAGCCTTTAAGTGGAGTAAAGTGAGCTTTATGAATACTGGAAAAAATAATGTAGATTTAAAATGTTAATTTGTAGAACTATAGTAAGAAGAGATATTTTTCTGGACATCGATCAGGTTTATACCTAAATTAAAACTCTTATTATGGCATTACTTTTCCCACAACCTTTAAGTGATTCTATGAACTACCTCCGCCATTCTGTTGATTACCTGAATAACGAGCTAAATAAAAATTTGATAGGTGTTCACTAAGAAACTGTGCGAGAATTATGGTTATAACATTTTGAAAGTTGTGCTTTCAAGCCACTTATTACACAAGTTCTCTCTACCCGGAATGCTCTGGAACCCAAGATCTCAGGACACTAAACCACTCAAAGGCCACTTTGTCCCTTCTGTGTCTACATTCATTCATTTATTGATTGATTGATTATTAAAATTTTTTTCTATGTATGTCATAAAATTCGTGAAATTATATCTTAATTACAGACCTCAAGTCAACGTTGGCCCCAAACACCAAGAAAATATTTTGTAAAAGTTAATTGTATTTTTCTCTTGTGCCTCTTATAGTTCTCTTCCTTTTATCAGTCTTTATGTTTCTCCTTTGACGTTCACTTCTAAGTGGGTATTCATGGTGGAAGATAGAATAGGTTGCTGAGAAGAAAGTGAGGGAAAGGAACCAAGAATGAAAACTGTAAGAGAAGAGATGGGCAAAGTAATTGCTATGGACTGAATATTTGTGTGTTCCCCTCCCTGCAAATCCTCATGTTGCAGCTGTAATCTCCAATGTGATAGTATTGGGAGGTAGAACATTTGAGGAGGTTATTAGGTTTAGATGAGGTCATTGGGTTGAAGCCCCCAAAATGGGATTGGTGACCTTAGGAAGAGATCAGGGCTCACCTGAGCTCTCTCTCTCTCTCTCTCCCTCCCTCTATCTCTCTCTCCCTCCTCCCTCTCTCTCTCCCTTCTTTCCTTTCCTTCTCCTTCCTTCCTTCATCTCCTCTCTCTCTCTGAAAAATATCAATGTTATATTTACAATTAAAACATGGGAAAAGAAATACATTGCCTTACAAAAAAATGCACATTATTGCACATTATAATATTTCAGTAAAGCACACCAAAGGAGCCATGCATATATTATTAAATTATAATCCGCACTAAGCAGACTTTACTGGTAATGTTCCTTGGTCCTTTTATTGTGCTCTAAGGAGAAAATATTCAGAACACTTCAAATCATTCATGCTTGTCAAATAAACATAAAATAAAGGAGTGATTTGGCAATAGGTGAAATGTCATGCATGCTTCAACGTGTGAACTGAATAGAACTGCTGTACAGAGTCTGACAAGCAAATTTTTTAGAAATTTGTTCTTGAAATAATTTACTTTATAGTGTATAGACAATGAACCTTACTCCAAGCTTTTGTATTTAGATTCTTGAAGTTTTGGATGTACCTTGAAGGAGTTCAGCCTTCTCATTTTACAGATAAGGAAACTAGGCCCAGTTTCTGGATGTGGCTTGCCCAAGGTCACATTTGTATTTTTGTTCCTCAACATCCTCATTTCAATCATTCCTTACACTTGCATAGCACTTTAGAGTTTTCAAAGTGTTTTGACATATCTTCTGGTATCTCAGTTTCTCCATGTGTAAATTGGGGATAATTATGGGCACTAACTCATTCAAGGGTATTGTAAGAATTGAATGAGATAACTGAGCCTTCAGGAAGTGTTAGCTATTATTAGTATCTTTATTGTGATACTTACTATCTCATGAAGTCTTTTCCACAACCTTGGAAGGCAGGCAGCATAG